CAACAGTTAAATTATGGGAATGCTCTGATAATGTGACATCGGGGCAGAGGATTTCTAGGACAGAATATTTATATGGATTTGGTATTGTAATAAATGATTTTAAAATTGTAAACTCTTAAATTTTACCTTTCAAGTTTTATTTTTCAGTCATTTTCTTATATTGAAGAAAGAACAGTTTTGAAGTTTTATGTGAACCCTTTTACGAACCCTTTGAAAATTTATTCTTCTTAATTAAATTATATTATATATGTGTTGGGGTAGTAAGGGTTTCACAGAACGAAATTATAGAAAAGTGCCTGTAAGTTAGGTTTTGGAAAAATTTGATTATTTCTGCTTGAGAAATTGATGATCCCATTAGATTTTGTATGTGTTGGGGATTAGAAATATATATTTAATTTGTAAGAATGATAATCTGAGATCGATAGAGAACGAAACTGTAGAAAAGTGACTGTAAGTTAGGTTTTGGAATAATTGGGGTTTTTATCGTTTATGTTAAGATTATATTAAATTGGTAATTCCATTAATTATTATATTAATTTATGAATATTATTGTTATATTACTTGATAAGAATTGATGATCTAGATGTGAATTGCCCGAGGGGCGTGTAAACCCTTATTTTGTTGGACTTATCTATTGTGTATGTGATATTGAATTGTGTATGTGATATGAAATTGAGCTATGAGATGAGATGTTGTATGGATGTAAATATGATTGTGATTGCGGTTCCTCACACATATGATCAGGGATGAGACGACCTTGGTTAGGTGATGCTTCAGGGATGGCGTGCCCCTAGCATAGTGTGGAATGAGTGAGGCAATTAACACGCATCACTTATGTCAAATATGACAGCCTTAATATAGGGTTAATTGTAAGAGATTGTGTGGATTGTAATGTGATTGTGGTTCCTCACACTAATGACCAGGGATGAGGCGAACCTTGAGTAAGTGATGCTACAAGGACGAGCGTGCCCCTGGCATGGTATTGGATGAGTGAGGCAATTAACCCGTATCAACTTGTGTCAAATGTGGCGTGGCCTTGGCATATTGTTAATTGTAAGATTTGTGTGGATTGTGATGGATTGATGTAATTGAGATGTGAAGATGATGAATGATTGATAAATTATGATATATATAAATGCTTGTGAATATTTCATTCAGTAAGGAGTTATGATGGATTATGTTGTGTTTTTCCTTGTGTGCTTTCCATATAGATGTTTTCTTTTCTCACCGTATAATTTGTGGATGTTTTACAACCGTTAGATTGAAAGTTCATATCTCTTAGATCATATATATCAAATTTTATATTAATCTAAGATGATTTGATACTTCATTCTCATAAAATAAAATTGACGTAATATATACATTTCAAAATATACTAAAATATGAACACTTTGATTACCTTCAAGTTGTTGTTCAATTTTAACAAAATTTGACATATATGATCTAAGAGATATGAACTTTCCATCTAACGGTTAGATTTACAAAATTCACATTTAATATAAAGTTATTGAGCGGTGTAACACTTAGTAAAAGTTACACGGTGTCGTTTGAACCCTCCTCATATATATATATATATTTATATATAAATGCTTGTGAATATTTCATTAAGGAGTTATGATGAGATTATGTTGTGTTTTTCCTTGTGTGCTTTCCATATAGATGTTTTCTTTTCTCACCGTACAACTTGTGGATGTTTTAGGTGAGGAAGATCCGGCTATGAGTGACATCTAAATGCCAACGGTTGAATTGTGAGTATGCTCTGATATTGTGACATCGGGGCAGAGGATTTCTTGAAATTTTTATATGGATTTGGAGTTGTATTTATTATTTTTAAAAAACAATTTGTTAACTCTTATGTTTCATTTTCTAATTTATTTATTTTCAAACATTTTGGATATTGAAAAACATTTGTGAAGGTTTTTATGTGAACCATTTTACCAACGTTGAAATATTTATTTTTTAGTTTATTTACATTGTTACAATATATGTGTTGGGGTACTAAGAATGTCACACTTTTCCTCTTCTTTATTATCTAAACCTAGAACAATAAATAAAAAGAATATTGTTTTCACTTTTTTAAAACACATTTATTCTTTAACTAATTTATTTATATTTATCTCAAATATTTTAAGTTTTACTCTTATTTATTATTTGTATGTTCTCTCCTTTAAATAAAATCACCATTAACATGTAAATACAAAAATTTATATTAGGTTCACTCACCTTCTATTGTAAGTGTACGTTGTATCATGTATATGACTTGCTGCCTTTTATTTAATAAAAAATTTCTAATTTTTTATATTTTATTTTTTTATTTAAATAAAATACATAGAAACACGAAGTATATCTTAACTTCACACATATATAGTAAACATTTAGTTTGTGAATTGTACAATAAATATACTAGTTATCTGAAATAGAAAATCTATAAAATTAGAAATAAATAAATGGAAATTTAAGTAATTTCAAAAGAAAGAAACTATTTTTGTTTTTCCTATACCCTATCATTTCTGATTATTTTCTGTCCTTGTACACAAAACAACTAAAATAGAGCTGTCCAATGTAAGTTTCCAATTCTATATTATCTATAAAACAGAAAAAAAAGATTAACTTACGATAATATTAATCTAAATTAGAATTTAGCCAGTTCAAGTACTCAACTTTTTATCCAAATTAAGCTCGTGGTGACAACTTCACACAACCAAACTGAACTACTAAAGATAAAATATAAAACATGAACAAGACTTGTTCATCCCAATTCAAGGCTTCATCATCCTTTCTCTCAAGAACGTAACCTTCCTTGCATACAATTTTTTTGCCATTTTCCTGCTTCCTTCCACTTAATCTGTGGAAATTCGAAGGGGCCAGTTTACATTTTTTAAGTTGTTAGCATATAAGAAATGGGAGGGTGTTGCAGTTGCCATGTTTCATTTGTAGGACAGGTGCATGATGTGGAATGTGAAGGTAACCATAGCAGTGATGTTGCATGTAAACGTGGTAGGGCCCGTGTCATGCTAAGAGGGTCCTCTGAGTTTGTGTCAATGTTCAGCCAAAAGGGTACGAAAGGAATTAATCAAGATGCATTGACAGTTTGGGAGGTAAGATTTCTTCATGTATCTGTTTGTAGATTCGGTTACATTTTCTATTTTCATTTCCACCAATTTTGCTTGATTTGTTTTTTTCTTTTACTATTTAGACCTTAAAGTCATAAATTATACTTTAGAAGGTGAATTATAGATATACTAAATTTTTGATGGGTTTATCATTGTGCTCTCTTCTCAATAAAGTCTTTTTTCCCAGATTTTTGTATCATTTCATTGTCGTGTTTTCTACTTTGTTAAAGAATTAAAGAACAGATTTTTTTTTTATAAGAAATGAAGGCAGAAAACCACTAATAACATAAATCTTATACTTTTTAATAAAAACGTTCCACTTTTTAATTCCTTAACTATGGAGCTGGCAATCCTTCACTAGTTACTAGTTGACATGCATGGCAATACATTTTGAATTAAATGGATAATGGTCTCATAACTATGGTTTTATTTACTTTTTTTTTTTATACTTTACATGATTTTATACTTTACAATAATTTTTAACTAATTACCGGTTCACTCATGTAAATATGAGTTGGTTTTTTCACACTTTTTCTATCTATTTATTCTCCTTGATTCATCATCTGATTTGATTATACCCATATTCTGTATCTTTCTTTTCTTTTCCAATTTAACTTTAGTATGAGGATGAAGAATTATAAGCCTCTTTATTCTATATAAGTTAGGATTTGTATTAATCTAACTTTGGTTCTCGCAAATTGCTACTAGGATTCCACTTCAATAATCAGATCTATATCAGCATGAGCCTTTAGATGGCAAATCTTTATGTTACTAGTACTGATCCTCTTATGATTTTTATTAATGCATAATGGTTCTCAGTGAACAAAGTTCATGGCTTGAATTAATGTTTAACATGATACATTATCAGGACTTCACTGGACAAAAGGATATGACCTTTTGTGGCGTGTTTGATGGTCATGGTCCTCTAGGACACAAGATTGCACAACGCATACGTGACAAACTACCCTCAAAAGTCTCAGCATCAATCAAACAGTCACAACAAAATTTCAGCCAACACCATGATGCTAATGTATCAGATGGAGGCACTGATAGCGAAATATATGTTGAGGATCAACAAAACATGTCCTTTGCTTCATGGGAGGAAAGCTTTATGAGGTGCTTCAAGGAAATGGACGAGGAGATTGAAAAGAACATTGACACTGATGGATTTCGTGGTGGTAGCACTGCTGTAACTCTAATCAAACAGGTATAATCAGACCTTCAAAATTGCATTACCTCCTTGTCAATGCTGCTTTTGCATGAATGTTATTAACCACGTCCTTTTCCTCCTTTTAATTTCAGGGTGACCAATTAATAATTGGCAATTTGGGAGATTCTCGTGCAGTTCTATGCAGAAGAGCACATGACAACAATCTTATTCCTGTTCAACTTACTGTTGACTTTACCCCAGATGTTCCAAGTAGGTTTTCATATTGACTATTAATATTAGTTCCTAAATCTTACAACCCTCTTGTGTGTGAGCGCTTTCTTATAACCTTGATTGTAAATCTTAGTAGAATAAGCTAAGAAAACTTATTTTTTCAAGCTTCTCCATGCAACTTTTATTGAAATAAACTAAAAATAATTTATACGGTTGTCTCATAAGTTAACAAATGTCCCCAAGTCTTATGTCTAACTTCATTTTCTTATTCAATGCCGCTCAGGTGAAGCTTTAAGAATCATTAATTGTCGAGGTAGAATTTTTGCTGCTAAAGAAGATCCAAGCGTAAATAGAGTATGGATGTCTGAAGGGAGCTTCCCAGGACTGGCTATGGCAAGAGCCTTTGGAGATTTCTGCCTTAAAGACTATGGTGTCATCTCAGTACCTGATGTATCTTACAGAAAACTTACCAGACAAGATGAATTTGTGGTTTTGGCTTCTGATGGGGTAAGTATTTTCATATCAGGATGTCAACTTCGAATTTTGGATTTGGTTCTTGAATTATAAGTTACAGAATAATTGTTGCTAATTAGCATTTGAATTATGCTCATTCTTGTATCTCTCTCGATCCAAACATGTTTGCAAACATTTGATCAAATAGTGCAAGAAAAGAAATAGCCAAGGGCAAATAAATTAGCAATACTTAGTTTCCAAAATAAGCAATTATTTTTCCAAAATTTATCCCAAACATATATAATGGTCTAAATTTTGTTTCTTACAGATATGGGATGTGCTAACAAACAGTGAAGTAATAAACATAGTTGCTTCAGCTCCAAAAAGGTCCATGGCAGCCAAATTGTTAGTAAATCATGCTGTTCAGGCTTGGAGACACAAGTATGGTTTCAAGGTTGATGATTGTACAGCCTTATGTTTGTTCCTGAAGGATTAGCCTGTTTTATGGGAACAATAGTCATCACTTGAAGCACCTTCATTGATCATAATCTAGACATGTACACATTGAAAGTGTAGATGGAAAGAGTATGGTAGAATCAAGAGGAAGAACGGGAAGCTCTTGGAGTGTTCTCTAGAGTCAACTTCGAATCATGGATAGCAACCCTCTCTACCTCAGCCAGAAATCGACAAATCCTAAAGTATGATGTCAGGAGTGCTAGTGCCACTAACTAGTCAACAATTGTATGGCCAGAAGATTTTGGTTTTGACATGATCCCAGAAATAGGCAATCATTTTAGCCTTGTGATTTTGGTGTGATCACATGTGAGAATTTTTTTTTCTATCTATGTATGATGAGCTTTGATAAATTTTAGCACTCTAGATCATGTTTTTTGGCTTGGGTACCAATGAGTTCAATGAAGAACTAAGGAGCACCTTTCTATTTATTTTCAATTGGACTCTTCGGTCTTCCCCTTCCCTCTAACGTACATCATTAAGCTTTAATAAGAGGATTTTGGAATTCTACATATATACCATCTAGAATATATTTAGTTGAGCAGAATTGAACCTTAAGAAGGAATCTACAAAAGTAAAACGGGTGGATTTAACAGCACAAAATAAGGTTAAACACGGTGGATAAAGTAATGATACTTAAACAAACAAACAAAAAAATTATTTTAAAAGGTTATGCATATTCTCGGGTGAAAATCATTGGAAAATACATTAATCTCAATGTGATTTTTTTACATTGTTCGGAAGAATCTATGCATGTTTAATTTCACATCCATTATTCATATTTAGACTGAATTCACCTCAAAATTGATGTAAAGGAAACTAATTGTTACTTTCATTGATTCACATGCAACTTAAATTAATGTGAATCCAAACATACATTAATCTTATAAACTTTGAAGTATATTTGGAAGAAGCTCTACTTAATAAAAGAATCCATCTTCGTGTCTGTATATATATATATATAAAAAGGAGGGTTTAAACGACACTGGTGTAACTTTTACAAAATGTTACACCGCTTAATAACTTTATATTAAATGTGAATTTTGTAAATCCAACCGTTAGATTAAAAGTTCTTTACTTAGATCATATATACAAAATTTTATTTTAATCCAAGATGATTTGATACTTCATTCTTATAAAACAAAATTGACGTAATATATTTATTTCAAAATATACTAAAATATGAACAGTTTGATTGCCCTCAAGTTATTGTTCAATTTTAACAAAAATTGATATACACATATAAAGTTATATGAATTTTCAATCTAACGGTTGGATTTACAAAATTCACATTTAATATAAAGTTATTGAGCGGTGTAACACTTAGTAAAAGTTACACTAGTGTCGTTTGAACCCTCCTCATATATATATATGAGGGGGGTTATAATTACACCGGTGTAACTTTTACTAAGTATTACACTGCTCAATAACTTTATATTAATTACGAATTTTGTAAATCTAACCGGTAGATTGAAAGTTCATATCTCTTAGATCATATATACAAAATTTTATATTAATCCAAGATGATTTGATACTTCATTTTTATATAAAAAAATTGACGTAATATATTCATTTCAAAATACACTAAAATATGAATACTTTGATTACCTTCAAGTTGTTCAATTTTAACAAAATTTGATATACACGTATAAAGTGATATGAACTTTCAATCTAACAGTTAGATTTATAAAATTCATAATTAATATAAAATTATTGAGTGGTGTAATACTTAGTAAAAGTTATACCGATGTAATTATAACCCCCCTTATATACATATATATATGAAGAGAGTTCAAACAACACCAGTGTAACTTTTACTATGTGTTACATCGCTCAATAACTTTAAATTAAATGTGAATTTTGTAAATCTAACCGTTAGATTGAAAATTCATATCACTTTATATGTGTATATCAAATTTTGTTAAAATTGAACAAAAATTTGAGGGTAATCAAAGTATTCATATTTTAGTATATTTTGAAATAAATATATTACATCAATTTTGTTTTATAAGAATGAAGTATCAAATCATTTTGGATTAATATAAAATTTTGTATATATGATATAAGAGTAAAGAACTTTCAATCTAACGGTTGGATTTATAAAATTCACATTTAATTTAAAGTTATTGAGCGGTGTAACACTTAGTAAAAGTTACACCGGTATCGTTTGAACCCTCCTCATATGTATGTATATATATATACAAGAAACTAACATAGTTGCTTTTGTGTTGGGAAGTATATTCTTGGGTTTCTTTCTCTCCTATACGAACATTTCTTTTAAAAGAGTAGGCAGCTGACTTACCTTTTTGTATTGCTTCGAGAAATCTAAAATCTTTACACTTTGAGAAAATCTTCCTGTTATATGGACAAACTATATAACAAAAATACGTGAAAATGTATTGCAATCATTTGTTCTTTTTAAGACAAAATGTTTTCTGGTAAAAACTTTATTGAAATACTTAATATTTATTTGTTATAATTAAAACTTTTGAGAGATTTAATTAAAGACCTAATGTTCTTTTGATCTAACATGTAGTACGTGTTTGGTTGGTAAAAAATATGATATATATATATATATATATATAAAGCTATAATAGTTTTCCAATTAAAATTAGAGATTTTTCCTTTCCTTATGAATTTTCTCATTTTTGTTTTTCTACTCAATGAAACTCATTCATTCTCACTTGTCATGTATGAAATGTGAGTTTGCTAATTTCTCTTATTTTATATTTTTCATATTTTTACAAAATAAAACTTTAATAAACTAGAAAGTTTCTCACCAAAAAAAAAATCATACCTAATGTTATTCATAGCATTTTATTTACTTAGGTTAATATATATTAAAATAATTAAAAAAAGTTTCTTAACATTACAAAAGCTTGAATTTTTCTTATCTAATACTATTTGCATGACAATTCTATCTTCTTATAAATTGTAATAAACAAAAAAATAATAATAAACTAGAAACTTTTATTTTTAAAGATATTATTCATACTTGTTTTTGAATATTTTTATTCAATGTGTAAGTTACATAATATTTTATATTTATTTTTTTAATTTGTTATTTTTTAACTTTCTTAAAAAATATTAATAGTATATGAAAATTACTCACACGTTATCTTAAAATACTAGTTAAAAGTTAATTTTCCTCCCTAATTTTCCAATACTAGAGAAAAGGGAAAGGAAAAGGGAGATATTTTCACTCTTTGATTGCTTTTTTTCCCCCTTAAATATTTAACCACGTAGCACAAAATTAACAAAAATTTCTCCTCTTATTCTCCGTCGTGGACTTGGTATTGTCGTGGCCCTCGATTTCAATCCTTGGGTTGGACCTTGGAGTACACACATATATATATATATATATATATTAACAACTACATCTCTTTTATTTTATTTTTAAAAAAATTAAATATTTTTTATTATTTTAAATTTAATAAATCCAACTTTTAATTGCATTATTTTTTCACACCTCATTCTCTCTTTTAGTTTTTACATGTACTCTTTTGTCTTCTCTCCACTCTCCACCTATTTTAGTTTTAATTCTTTTGGTTTTTATATTACTCTTTTTCTCCCTCACCTCTTTCAAATTTTACATTCACTCGGACTATAGAACTAGTGTATGATGACGTTGTAGATATATGCGACTTTCTCAATAATTTTGAAGGTATCGACCTAGACACCTGTTTTTCTTCGAATATTTCCTCCCCTATCACACTTCTTGAAACATCAACATTAAATTTAGTATTCTATAAAAAAAATTTCAAAACATTAATTTCAATATTTTGGAAAAGAATTTCTCGAATAGTGAAATTAGTTTTCCGAAAAGTATTTTCTAGAATTGCGTTTTTACATAGTCTCGGAAAATACTTTCTGTAACACTAAATTTACTGTTTCGAAAAGAACCTTATGAAATTATGTAAAATAACATACATTTGAAAAGTTCTTTTCAAAATCATAATTTAGTATTTTGAAAAGTACTTTTTGGAACATTAATTTCACTATTCTGGAAAGTAATTTTTGGAACACAAATTATTTGGAATACTAAATTTAATGTTCTGGACGTGTAAAAGGGGGGAAGTACTCGAAGAAAAAATGCACATTTGGCTCACTACTTTCAACATTGTTAAGAAAGTCAGCCTATAATGTTTTCATGCACCAACCCTACGTTCTGTATGCATGTAAAAACTAAGAAAAGGGACAAAGAGAGTAATAGTATAAAAATTGAAAGAGGAGTGGAGAAGGGAGTAATGTAAAAATGGAAAGATAAAACTACCTACCGAAATATGTGAAAAGTGGAAAGGTAAAAAATACATGTGAAAACTGAAAAGAGAAAGAAAGAAAATATGTAAAAAAGAAGAAGAAAGTATTAAATTGAACATTAGAGGTGTAAAATAAAAAAATTAAAAATTAAAAATATTTTAAAAATTTATTTTATATAGAGAAAAAGAAAAAAAAATGTACTAAAAAAATTATATATATCATGAATCTAACAAGGATAGGATATTCTATTGGACTACAAATACAATCCACTTAATTTAAGAAGGGAGAAAGTGTGTTTTAATCGACTGCAGACCAAAAAGAAAAAAATATATATCAATTACTGCTTAAAATTTTTTATCTTTAAGAAAAATTATAAAGACAATATCTAACATCAAACTTAAATTCCTCCATTTCTAATTTAATCTTTTTCCTCTTAATCACTAGACTAGACTAATTCTAGAGTTCTTATCTCTCTCTTTTTAAATATCAACTAATTGAGACCATTCTTGTTGCTAATATTGTGTTTTCGAAGTAAACGTTTTAAATAGGTGTGATAAGTTGGACAAATATTAATTACTAATTATAGATTTAAATAATGTTATATATAAAAGTCTAACTGAGCGGGAAAAAAATTCAAAAGACGCTGACTTTCTTTTATAAATTTCCTTCACATGATTCATAAACAATCCTACCGTAATTGATTGTATGATTATTAGTCAAACGTGTAGAATTTTGATCAAAAATAAGTCATATATAAAAATAAAATAATGTATGATTTAAAAATAAAAAAGAGAGAATAGTATATGATTATATAAATATATATATATACTATTATTTAATCACAAATATGCGTATATAATAAATTTATGAATTTTTATAGTAATTTTGTTAAAAGTCCTACAGATGATAATTTCTTATTAGTAATTGTCATCTAAATATTAAAACTATTGTATTTGGAAATTCCATACTTAAATGGTGAAAATGCAACCATATCTTTCTTAGAGGTGAAAAATAAATTAATAATTTTTTTCAGATAAATCATAATAAATTAGATAAAAATAATTTATCTATTTATTTAGATTTATTAAAAAATTCATATAAGCATTCAATTCATTCAATGTATTTAAAGCAAAAAAATCTATTCAACCCATTTATTAACAATTTTTTTATAGATAGATATTCAATTCATCCTTAAAAGTAATATTTTAAAAATTAAATAAATTTTTTTTTGAATTTTTTTTTCTCTTTTCTTTATAAGTTATTATATTTTAATAAAATCTTTTAAAATTTATAAGACTTTTTTTTATGTCAAAATAGTATTTTAAAATTTCAATTCAATAAATATCTCATATTATAATTCAATAAATTTTAAAAAAGAAGTAGATGGATCACCAATCATCCACAAAATTAAATTGATAGATTAAATTCAATCTATTCATCTTTTTTATTGTAATGAATGAATTGAATAAATTTACTTGTGAATAAATTAAATATATGGTAAATAAATAAATTTATTTACTAACCTTAATCTTCCCTAACATGCATCGGATTTGAATGCAACTCTTTTCTCATGCTACAAGAAAAAGTACACACACAAAGTTAATAAATCAATACTATACAATTACAAATAGTGACGAGTACGACGATGGTTAATTTGTGAAGGATTCAAATAAATTTACAACACAGCACGTGATCCATGGAGAAAACTCAACCAAAAATACGTAAAAATAAATGAGCCTTGAAGAAGCATTATTAGTCTTTGATTCTGGGAAAAATATGTGATACCATTCTACGGTACTTGTTAGCAGATACAATGAATGACAATTTTTCATATGATGAGTTCCTTTTTCCATTATGTTAATGCTTCCAATACCAGTTTGAAATTGAATTAAAGGTACTGTACTGTACAATCAATGCAGACTATCATGAGAGGACATCGTGTACTACTGTCTACTCCAATACCAAAACAACAAGTGCCTCATTCCAAAATATTTACTACCTAATTTGCACAAATTATTTATCTTCATTTTCTTTTGGTTTATATAAAAAAGCTATAATTCATTCCCTTTGTGTCTTTATAGAAGCAAAGTAACAATTTCGATCACAATTTCATGTTTATGATCTTTAATGAAGAACACAATATAAAGTGTCAAGTGTCGAATCACTTAAATTAATAACTTTTATTTTTATTTTAATATTTAGTCTCTTGATCTTAACATTGAGATTCAGTGTTGAAAATAAATTATTTTAGTGAGATTAATTTAAATCAAGTTACATTAAGGGTGTGTTGTAAAATGCATGCTTGAGTGAACATGTTGCATCCTAGTTGCTCCGACATGAGTCCCGTTGTAACATATTTTGGTAAGGCCAGATTGCTAGTGTTTGAATACAGCTGAGAATTAATTATAACCCCATAAAATTATAGTGATACCAACAAAAATAGAAACAATTATTTATTGTTTGTTATCTATACTATAAGTATATGTTCAAGTAAGAACAGTTACATATGCAGAATTTAAATTTGAGATCACTGATGAAGCTTAATTCAATAATTTTGTACTTATTTTTTTATTTTATTTTATACTTGTTATCTTTTTGTTTTTATTGCTAAAAGTTTTTTTTTTCTCTACCGCGAAATTGTTCTAAACACGAGTAAACAACTTAATCATTTTTTTATCAAGTATTTATCATGCAAGTCTTTATATATGAATAAACTATAAGCTATTTTCATAAGATGTAAATAAATTATTTTATATTGTTATAAATAAATAAAAAAACATAATGTAACAACACTAAAGCTATCTAAGAAGAAAAAATAATTCAACAGGTCCCATTCTCATTGAGTCTCACATTTGATTAAGTAAATTATCTTATCCAATGAGAATTTCGAACACTTGATTTTATAGGATTTTCCTTCGAGTCTCGCATCCTAATTAATAAATTTCATGGTCTTATAGTATTTTAAAATTTTCAAATAAAGAGTGCTGTTAACACTCCTGCAAAATGCAACTTAACTTAATGGAACATAATCGGGTTATCGTTATCCCGTCCCAAACCTCAAATTGAATAATCCATAAAAATAAAACTATAACACTTTTTTACCAACCCAATCCATCCGTAGCAAGCAAAGCCCACACTTACACCTCTTTAAGGGAGAAAAGGACAAAATACCAAATACCAACACATTGGCAACTAATAACATCCTCATTCCTCACCCTCAGAATTCAAAACCAATATACATGAATAAATGCTAAAAGGGTAGAAAGAGACTCACAATTTAAAACCGAAAGTTAAATGGTTCACCAAACCAGAATTGACATCACTGTTGAAACAATTATAAAGCAAGGAAAGTGGCTCCATTACCTAATTTTAACTCACACAACACGTTATCAGTTACTGCCCGTGAACTCTTCTTCCCTCTTCTCTCTTTGAAACTCTCTTCACTCTCTCTTGCTCCTTACATTGATTATCAAATCTATATATACAAAGTTACCAAACCCCTTCTTACAATCCTTAGTCTTGTCAATATCCACCCCCACAATTTTCCCTTTCATTTGCCTGCACACATCTCAAGCACTTTCCTTCAACCAATCACACCCCTCACAAAAATAGAAACCTCAAATCATAAACCATAGATTGCGCCTTCACAAAGGGATGCCCCTAGATTGCAACATATGTACACAATGTCACAACCACGTGTCACAAAGGACAATACAATCAATGGTCACACACACACTCACACTTGCAATGCAAACAGTAATTTGGTATGCTATATGAGCAAACTTAATTGCTTTCCTTCTATACCAAGCCATATACTACCACCATTTTTCTCCTTTTTACATATCACATTAGTACCACTACTAGTTAAATTAATACTACCTGTGTGAACAGGCTTTAACGAGTTCAGAAGCATAAATGAGACCCTCTAAAAATTAACCAAGAAAAGGTTGAAAAAGAAACGTGACAAGCAAAATATTTAATAAAAGTCATAGAAACTAGTTAATGGCCATCTCAAATGGTGCTGCTTTTGCGGACAACATAGCGATATGCAGCAACCTTTTTCCTCCTTGAGGCAGTGTTATCGACTGAGAGTACCATTTTTCCAGATTCTTTTGATGTGAATGAGTTGTGGATTGCTTCTTCTGATGCCCCCATCTTCCTTGGCTTTTCAACTGCTATGGTGTAGCTTCCTTCAGCATTTGGCACAAACTCAGCACTGTATTCCAAGTCCCACCCTCCCACCACAATGTCCCATGTGATAGTTGCACCAGCCTAATATTCACCCAACAAGGACTCAATTAACAACTAATCTTTTCCATTGGTGTCAAAATCATTATGCTTTAAATTCAAAATGCAAAATGCAGAAAGAATTTTTTTTTTTTTTCTGAAAAGAACCATTTGCATGACAAAAGGAGTAATCATAAGCTGCATAGGGAAGAGTAATTGCATGTTTGGGAAACATTGTTTTAGAGAATTATTCTTTTTTTTTTTTCATAAAAAGCAAAAACAAAAGTTACTGGCTTATTGTTAGTTTAAAATGAGTTGATGGAAACATGCATTATGAAATGGGGTGAATCATCACCTCAATCCCTTCTATTTGAATGTTCACTTTCTCCCCTCCTTTGATTGTGAACTCAGATGCAGGTTTTGGGGGACCATTCTGCAAATCACTGGGTCGATTCAGTCCTCCATACTGAACAGGAATGTCCTCAGGCCTAATAAATCTGAACACAATAAAACAACTCCCTTCAGAAAGCAAACCAAAAGTGGAAATAGAAGGAAAGTTGGAATTATATTTGTTACCCCAAAATGAAAGCCAAGGAAGGACAACTTGAGTAATAGTATTAATGAACATAATCTCAGAATAGTAGAAACTAGAAAGGAGACAAGATCTCAGAACCATTTTAAAATCTTAATATAGATAAAAAAAAAAATTGAGAGGAACAAGGCCAGTCATAATACTCTAAAACAGTGGATTATTGAATTGCACAAGTATAAAAAAAATCCAGATGGAACCATTAGACTCACTTGTACAGTGTCTCGGCAGCATTTCCTTCCTTGGAGATCACAAACTTGCTCTTGGTTCTTTGAGTCAAAAACGGACTGAACATTGAATACAACATGCTGAAGTACCATGGCACGTTGATGAAAATCTGAATCCCCAAAAGCAAAGCCAGGCAAATGAGAAGAAAACAAATGTCAATAAAAGTTGAAAAATTGTGTCACACATACAAATGATTAAATGTCATGACATTGAATGAGAGCAAGCAAGCAAAAAACCAACTTCGACAGGTTACTAATTTGAAGAAAACAAGAAAAGCACATAAACCTTGCGAGCCACCATTTCTGGATAGTTATCTTGGAACAAGGAGAGGATCTGGTTGGAGGCCACCCTGAGCTCTCTCTTGGGCATGTCCTTAAGGTCTGTGACCTGAATGAGGGAATTGACCCCACCAGGCTTGAAATGGAGAACCTTGATGCCTCTCTCAAGAACCTGAACCCTCCACCTGAGGAACTTCTTGAGCTTCTCCTCATCCCCAAAGACCCTATCATACATCTCCTTGTCCTTGAACACACCGTAGGCATTGTAGCACACAGGGTGGCCCTCCTTGTCATACCCTTGCATATAGGCTATGACCCCTTCAAGCTCCTTGAACCCCAGCTCCTCCTCCAAGATGGTGTCAGCACCAAACTCCTTCCTCCAAGCAAGGCACTTGAGGAGCATGTGGAGGGCATCACCAACCCTGAAGTCCCTTGCTCTGAGAAACTTGAGGAGGATGACATCAGCTTTGTCATCACCTCCAAGGAGGGGAATGCCCCACATGGAGGCATCGGAGGGAGAGCCATCAAAGGAAGCTTTGAGCTTGTCCTTGAGCTCCTGAAGGGCCTTTTTCTCTGAGGACCTTAGGAGGGACACAAAGTAGTTGTCTTCCTTGAAGGAAGGGGTGGAGGCTCCCATTAAGGTGGCCACAAAGCCCTTCTTGTAGGGCTTTGGGGAAGCTTCTGGAAGGTCCTGGAAGGTTGCCTTTTGGGTTTGGAGGGACATTGGGGAGGAAGTGGCGTCCATCATCAAAGGAGGGGTTTTGAGAGTGACCCAGATGAATTTAGTGCATGAAAGAGGGAATGCAAGGTGGTTTGAGGGGTTAGAGGATAATGGGGTGGTGATTATATGATAAAGCACTGAACTTTCTCTCTGTGTGTGTAAGGGATGGTTAGAGAAAAAAGGGGGAAGAGGGAGGGAAGTGACGAGAAAATGAAGGAGTGGGGACAAGAACAAGCGAGATTTTAGAGAGTGTTTGAGTTGTTGTGTTGTGTTTGAACTTTGAAGGAGTGTGGGAGATGAAAGTGGGATTGAGGAAGAAACGAATTTGAATGTGGTGTTGAGGGAGTGAATGGAGACAGGGGTCGTGACAGAGAGTGGGGACACGCGCTGTTTCGTGGCGAGTGGAGGAGGCTTGAGTTGTGTTGCTGCAACAGTTCAGAGTTCAAACGAGACCAAGAAGAGAAATCTCCGAGTTTATACTCTTGGCTTATCTTACTTTAATTATTTGCATGTTGAGTAAGGCAAATTACTAATTAGATAGCAGTTTATAAGTTACTTAGATTACAACTAAGTTGTTAAATGTGTTTGGCAAGGGAATGATAAGTTAATAAAAACATAATATAGCTTATAAGTTACATGTGTAAATAATTTTTTTTATTTTTATTAATTTAAAAGCAGGATATATAAATAAAGTCGAAATGTCTTGGTCTAAATTTATATTAACTGTTGAGATGGAAATTTATAATTTAGAGAAAAATTTAATAGATATAAACTTTATTTTTTTGTTAGTTTTATTTTTTAGTATAAGTATAAAAAGTGGAATAAAAAACATTATTATTAATTTATTATTGTTTGAAACTTTGAATCGTTGATGTTGCGAGAGTAGTGTGAAAGGGAGAGTGTGTACGGAAGATAGAAGAGAAGAGAAGATAGTGTGAAAATGAAGCGAGTGAGAGGGGAAAGAAGTGAGATGAAAATAAATAATTGAGGATTCAGAGTTTGCAGCAGAACATCGTCTAAGAGATTGTTCGACACGGGTTTTTTTGTTCCATTTTGGGACCACACTTCCCTCTTATATCCTTTAGGCTTTGTTTTGGAGTGAGGAAGGAATGCAAATAAATAAATAAGTAAGTAAAAATTATTTAATAAAAATTAGATAAGAAGAAATAAAATAGAATTTGTAATTATTTGATAGAGTAAAATAGAATTTGTAATTATTTGATAGAGTAAAATTAAATAACAAATAAAATGAATTTTTAAGCAATTTTTATACTTATTATATATTATATATGACATTCGAATTATTTTGAATATTTTTATATTGATTGTGAGTATGCAATAACTTCAAACTTTTTTACATAGGGTGTGATGCAAGAAAAATTGAACAATGGTGAAATATCTAATGAAAAATCTATTGGTAGTGTTGCTTGGGAAGGAGATGTGTATTCCCAAGTATTGGGGGCTAAAAGAAGTGGCTATGTTCGTGACTTAGGACTTGGTCCAACACCTTCTTTGTTATGGGGTTCTAAATCTTCCATATAAAGTACTTTTGCTAATAATATATCTAATGAGGTAGTACAAAGATTAGAGCAAGAGGTGAGGATGTTAAAGGAGTTAAAGGAAAAAACATGATGAAGAAATGAATTTGATGAAACAAAATCAAGATAAGTTACTTTCAGAACTATCTTTTATTAGAAAATTCATGTATAAACATTTTCCAATGGAGCTATTTCATTAGAAAATTCATGTATAAACATTTTCCAATGGAGCTATCTATGCCTCAAAAGTTCAATGGAAGCTCATTTGGACAGGTATGATTCAAATGCTTTTAAACATTTTATTTTCAAATTTTGATTATAAAAGACAATTTTAATTTCTTATGTCTTAAAGGTCTTTGGTACTAACATTGCCAGGAAAAAGCACTAGAAATGCCACACATGTTCTATGGTACTCATGGTAATTTTTTAATGCCTTTTGTTTTTGTACCTATAAATACTCTTTATAAGGTGTACATTTTAACACTTCTTTTTCTTTTTAGATTTATAGAATCACAATTACCTACAAAATCTAATGCAACTGCGAAAACAGGTTTGGCCCATGTCTTCTTGTTTTACACATGCTATTTTTTCTTAAAGAGGTTTAAGTTACTTTTATAAAAGCATGAGTAACATGAATAATAAACTCATGGATATATACTCTCGGTTACACTTAAGGCAATAGGATAGCAACTTGTATAATTAAATGACTTTTAATAGTGTGTTTACAAATCTAAATTATCTACTTGTTGATTTCTTGTAATGTCTCAACACTCAACCTTTTTGTTTGGATTTGCAGAATCACAATCAACTAAAATTCCAACTGTTATAGTGAAAACAAGTTTTAAAAAATCTCTTTGCTTCTCTTTGGAGTATTTAATTTTTTTTGTATAGTAATTTGATTTATTATAATATGTAGAGGCTAACAAAAACAGTATGGTTCAAGCTGATGACCTCACTTCCTTGCTCAAGCGTCTTAGAAAAGATAATGATGAAGTTGTTCGCATACTAGCAGCAAAGGCAATTACTAATCTGTCCATGAATGGTGATTATTTATTAGACATTGTGTTAACAAAGATGTTGTTACTGTTGTTGCTCATAATTTCATTTCCTTATGATGATTAGATTAGAGGAGGACAATTACTGTATATTCTGTTTAGATAGATGATGCACATGAACCCATTTTTTTATTATATATTAGATGTTAGGTAAATAAAAAATTTAATTTGGAAAATACCTAAAAATATATTCCTGGTTGAGTTGTCGCTCTACGCTCCTGGTTCCATGAAGTTATTGTAGCCTTTTTTATTAGCTTAAATGCTGGATTTAATTTATTTCTTGAATAAAGATACAATGGCAAGTTGTTCTGATTTTGTCTTAACACGAAAAAAGAATTCATGAATAGGGTTAAAGCTAATATTTGCTTTTTATTGATTGTACTATTTCATGTGTTATTTTCATTAAGTTTTTCATGCTACTGGTTGTTTTCATTCTGTGCAAGTTGAAAAATAATTGGATGTGCAGGCAATATTAGGACCAAATTCTCTCTGAATGCTTTATTTTAGAATTATAACCTTCGAGTCCTTGCATCTTGAACACAGCCAAGCACAACATCTTTGGCTTTTTTTAATTCGTGCTAAATTGTGTAATTTGGAACTAAAAATGTTAAGATCCACATATTACACCTTTTTATGGTATTGGTAACTTTATAATTAATATTCTTAATTGGAATTTACAAATAAGATGGTGGAATATCATCTGCCATACAGAGAGAAAAGGAGCATAGCATGTGATGCTGGTACGTATAATTAACTGTTTGGATTCTTTGAGATTTCAACAGTCTTATAGAACTTTTCCTTGATCTATTTTTTGTCCAATGAACTACTTGGTTGAATTTACATGCATGTTGCTTCCTTTATTAAATTTCTGTTAATATATCCTCCTCATTTCATTTCATTTGATTGGGCAAGTTTTTGAGGTACTTTTTCTGTTTTTTTCTTCTTCTTAAGCATCCCAAGTCATGGTTTTTTTGAATAAAGAAAAACAAAATTCACCTATTTGATTTAAGTTTCATTACTGGATAGAACACAATGGCTTTCAAAAATAAGAAAGACTAAATTCACCTATTTGATTTAAGTTTCATTACTGGATAATTTTCTTGGTCGAGTTGTATAATGTAGAATTGAATCATTAATTTTGATCTAAAGAAGTTAGGAGGTAGACTATGTTACTTACAGGAATAGAGTACTAGTAGTCCAGGAGGTAGACTATGTTGCCTTTTCTATTGGTCATTTCTTACTAATTATTGGAATACATGTATGTAGTGACATCCATTTGTTTATTTTGTGTTTTGCAGAATTCAATTGCAATTGATGAAGACCTTTTAAACATTTTAGCAAATAGCACCAGATCATTAGAGACCTTGCTTTCTTTGGAGGTATGACTATATTAAAAATGAAATTATGTAATTTCTTTGGATCATGGCATCATTGACTATTTATTTTATCTTTTCAATCATTTCCTTGGTATCTCAAGAACATGATAAACTCATAAATTTTGCATTACTCTAATAAATAGGCATATGGTGTTATTGCAAATATATAGTACTCATATCAAAAATTTATTATTCTCATTATTTTTATGAGAAATGGTGAATTAGAATATTAGTAAAGAAAGTAGTTTTTTTTATAAAAAAAAAATCAATGGATGAAAAATTGAATTTGATTCCCTCATCAATTTCAATGCATGGACTAAAAATAATTTTATTTAATTGAATTTAACTAATTGAGTATCAATACGCTATCAAAATAAATTATTTTATCTAATGAAATTTCATAGTATTTCTATACAATTTTTTTACATATATGAAAATCTATTATTCAATGAAATTACTTTTAGTGACCATTAAAATTGTTACTAGAATTGTCATTAAAAAAATATTTTTTCCAGCCATTTAAAAGGTTTTACCAACACTCACTTTAAATGTCATTAATAGTTTTACCGACCCCAAATATACTGACTATGATCTAATTGCTGATAAAGATATTAAAGGTCATTTATATAGTTGCTAAATAACATAAAAATTGCCATAAAAAAATCATTTTTGGTGTTGTGTTCACACATTTATTATGCCCAAAAGTCTCAATTTTGAATTCTAAATATGATTTTATTAAATTTTAATTTTAATATATACCGATAATTATAAAATTGTCCTGTTACGTTAATCAATAATATAAAAAAATTATATGTACAATTTTGAAGTAATTTTTATGCTGTAATCTTTTTATATATAAAATTTAATAAATTTGTTATATGACAAATACTCATTGAATGTGTGTAAAAAAGATCTTTACATTCTAAATAAACATTATTTATATAAATTTAAAAGAAAAACTTTATCGTTTAGACATATCTTTGTTTAATTTTATTTTATTTTTTCTGTGGTCAGACGAAAATAGGAGGGAATGTGAAAATAAAAGATAAAGAAGAATAATTTTCCTCACATTCTTTTCAAAGCTTCAAAATTATTTTTACTCACTTTAGACGACTGGGATTAAAGAGTGGGAAAAAAAATACTTTTATCATAAAATTATATAAAAAGAAGAATAATATTATATATTCTTATAGTATTTTCGTTAATGCTCTTAATTTTTATTAAAATATTGTAAAAAATATGTAAAAACAAAGTGTATTCATACTTCTTTAAATTAATAAATAAATTAATATTTATATATTAAACATGAATCAATATTATGTCCAATAATATTTTTAGAAGAAAAAAAATTACAAGAATATTTATAAGGATTCTTTTGATTTTTTATGTAACATAGTAAGTATTTTAGAAGGTCATGGGTGATTTAGTAGC